AGCCAGCTTTGCTGGCTGAGGAACTCTGGGAGTTGAAGTCCACAAGTCTTAAAGTTGCCAAGGTTGAAGACCACTGTCTTAACGTGTCTTAAGAGGCTGCTGGCTGAGGAACTCTGGGAGTTGAAGTCCACAAGTCTTAAAGTTGCCAAGGTTGGAGACCACTGCGTTAAGAGACAAATGTCTATGGAGAGCCTCAATTCTAGGTCATGGTTGTCCCAAAGGTGCTTTTCCAAAGTTTTAACTTTCTCGGTTGTTTCCTTTGAAAACGTTTCACTTCTCATCCAAGACATTTCTTCACTTTTCTGAAGAACTGAACTGAAGAAACCCCTTGGAAGAGAAGCGAAACGTTTGCGCTTCTTTTTTTAAAATGCCAAATTACAATTATTATGCCAAGTCCTACTATAGACAGCTATATGGCTTTTTAAATATCTTTTTCTCCTTTTCTTTTTTTTTCTGCCAAGCATAATCATTTTCCTTTATTAGCTGAAGGATTTCATAATTTAAGGGAGATGAGAACCTATAAGTCACACGTTCATGGATATTGCAAACATTAACCCAAGAAAGTCCAGTTTAATTTTAACCCAAGAAAGTCCAGTTTCCTCTTCCCAAAAGGGATCAGCGACAAATGCACGTTTCAGGGTAGGGAAACCCACCTTGAATTTCAGAAACAGCTCGCTTAAGGGAACGCAAGTTTTCCTAACGAGGACGATTTTCAACTCGCCGCCCAGCAGGCGGAGCGAAGGTCTTAAACTGATTTACTGCTGAATAATGACGGGCGAGGAAGGGTGACTCAAACGAGGAGCTCCCGCCCCGGCTACCCAAAGGCGCTGGAGGCGCCCAGAAGTTTCCAGCCAGGCAGCTGCCCCGCGTCTCTCCTCCTCCGTCTCCTGCTCCTCCACCTTCCCCTCCTCTTTGGCGCGGAGCTGCTATTTCCAGATACTTCCACCCCCTTCTATGTCTCCTCCCTCTGGATAAAGGTGCCCGGCCGGCGAGAGCTGCCTCGCTTAACTCCAGCGGGTGACCTAAGCGGCGGCTGGCAATTTCTTCCCGCGTTGTCTCCTTCCTTCCTCCAGCCTCTTTGCGCCTCGCCTCCTTCTCTCTCGCGCGCAGCAATGAGCGCAGCGGCTCAGTCTCCCACGCGGATGCAGGTGGAGGCCGGAGGCGGCGAGCGGGAGCCTTTGCCTCCGGGCTGGGAGGTGAAGATCGACCCTCAGACCGGCTGGCCTTTCTTTGTGGATCATAACAGCCGCACCACCACCTGGAACGACCCGCGCCTACAGGAGGATCGCCTGAAGGTACCCGCCACGCGTTACGCTGATTTTTCTTGGCGTGGGAAAGCCGGGCTTAGTTGGCGCCGTGGAGTGGAAGGGGTGGGGGGGTTGATTGAGGACGCGGAGCCCTCGCTCTTCGGCTCCTGTCCTACCGTCTCATTAAGACGTGGAGCCAAGGTAAAGGTCGGGTAATTCGGGCTTGTGTCCTTCCCGCGACTGAGAATCTCCACAGACGTGTCCTTCCCGTGACTTTTAATAGTTTCTCCCGCTTGCTGCGCTCCATAGCTCGCGTGCATGTTGGGGACAAGAGGGAAGTGTTCACGGGACACGGTAGTTTCTGGTGGGAAGGGGAGAAGGGACGCGTGTTCCCTGCAATTTGGGAAGGTCAAGTGGAAAGCCGACTCGTCTTCTCTCGGACGCCCAGCGCTCTCGGGGCTAAAGGACAAGGCGCACGATTTCCGCTCTCCAGACTTGGGTGAGTATGTGTACGTGAGGAGGGACGTTCCTTTCGTCGAGCGGCCCGGGTGGGGTGGGGGACGGCCCGTGTCGGGCGCGAGAGTTTTCCTCAGTATATGGCATTGTTGTGGTGACTTCAGAGATAAAAGTTGAAAGGCCTTCAGTGGGGAGGGGGAGGGAGGAGGCAGGGGAAACGGGGGAGGTGGGAACGGCGGGGGGGGGGGAGTGGGTGGGCTCTGCTCTGCCTGCAACTCCCGGGGTGGCGCCGTTTGAAGGACAGGAGCCAAGTATACTTCCCCGGGGCGCTGGGAGCAATAAGATGCAGCGGGGCAGTGCCAGGAAAAGTCTGTCCTCGCTGCCTTTCCACACCCCCCCCCCACCCGACTACATGGCTATGCAGTGAGGCTAAGAGCTGGCTTTTGTCTCTGACGCACTGCAGTCGTTCCCCCCCCCCTCCACCCGTTTTTGTGCGCTAAATCATTTGATACTTCGCCGTTGCGGACGTTTATTTAAAGTTGGCGAAGTCCAGTCTCGATCTGGAAAGAGGCGAACCGCAATTAGCCTGGCTGTACTACAAAGACGACGAAAGTTTCGCCTCCCTCCCAACAGTACGGTTTTCGTAGACTTGTCTTGGTATATATAATGAGGGCTCGATTTAGGTTGCTATCCTTAATGTTAATTTTTTTTGGGTAGATATCAGTTTTTCAAGTGGTTTTTATGATCTGGATTCTAAGACATCCTGGGCAAAGTTTCCTTACAAAGATTCCTTTTCTAATTTCCAAAGGAAAGGTAGAAAAAGGAGGATACTTCTTAAAATACTTCAGGGTTGCACCCTTTCCTTCTTTAAAATTCTTGTTTGTTTTTTTCCTGTTAACTGTTTTTTTTTTTTGGAACATAAATTGTTCCATTTCTGCCAAAAATGCTTATTGGTTATATAACAATCCAATGATTAGATGAAGGAGAAAAACAACGACCGAATGCAAAATAATGATTAGATTTTAAAATAATAGCTTGTGTTCATTTTAGAGCAGTGATGGGTACGACATATATGTCCAAGATGACACGCCACGCCATTTTGGGTGACACGCCAGCAGTCACCAACATCCAAGTATGACTGTTAAAAGCACAACTGCAATAATGTCTTTGTTCTTCTTGAACTTCATTTTTGTAATGATTGGGAAAAAAATTGTATAATACATAGCACCACATGATTGGACTCTATATATTTTTTAAATTAAAGAATTGTTTCTCCTCTGTTGGGGGGGAGGGGCTGTGACATGCCAGAGAATCAAGCTAGGCATTTTCTGAATTTTTGACATGCTGAGCCCAAAAGGTTTTCCATGACTGCTTTAGAGGTAACATATTTTGCATAATTCATCTATAGTTCTTTTGGAGAAAACATATTCCTAATATATTTTGCAATCTTCATAGGCTATCCTATCCCAAAATATTTTGCTGAAAATATGGCATTCTCGCTAACCTGTATAAAGTAGTTTAATTGAAGTGTCTTCCTCACTCCCTCATCAGCATGCCTTGTAACTGCATTTTTCCTCCAGATCCTCATAATAGCTTGGGTGACTTGAGCAGTTCTAGTTGTAAAATTTTCCCTTTTTCCCAATATAGTTTTGGCTGTGTATATGGTCTGACATACTAGAAAGTGCTAATGGTTGTTGAAATAGTTAGGAGTTGGAATCTACCCAGTTCATCCCTATAGACTGCAATTGGCATGGTTGCCTTTCTTTTAAACCCTGGGACCTTCAGTGCATGGCCATTTGTCTTGGGGTACTAGAGAGATCTGACCCTTAATTTCTAGGAGGCATCTACTTGAAAAATTCCTAACTGGAGCTTATAAACTGGAGTTTTATCAGGTTTGGGGAAAACTTTTTATAAACATGGGTATTATGCTATTCTGAGAAAGTAATGGGCCTTTAAAAAAAACCAAGGTTGCTTGTAATCCATAAAATCCATAAAATCAATTTAAACTTAGTTCTGCCAGTTGGGTACGCTAGTTCTGTCTCCATTAGGTTCATCACATTTTTTATGTTCCTTCAAAAAAAAGAAAAGATCAAAAACACAGATCTGGCTGTGTGTGTGCGCGGGGGGGGGAGGGAGGGAGAGACACTTTACCTGCTCCTGCTTTTTTATTTATTTTTTGATATCTTTACATTCACTCTGTGGCTTTGTACCTGATACTTCTGGATGCTGCCACAAGATTAGAACTAGTTTCCTTGGTCACATTCTTCAAGCACTTTCATTCTATTGCTACTTCTCCCTTTACCTCTTACTACTTCTCTACGTCATCTCTCAGGGCATTTGTGGGCATTGGGTTTAGAAGATGTGGACTGTGTTGAGAAATAACTTGATAGAAGACAGGTCACACAAAACATAAGCACTGAAAGTACTATCTTCCTCTTCATCCCATGCACCCATCCATCCTGGTAATTTAACAGTGGCGAAACCTGCCATTGTAAGCATCTGTCTAGACTTGCCCCACCCCGCATAAGTAAGAGTGATAGGTGGCTGTTTTCTGCTGGTGTGTAGGGAAGAAATGGAATTTGGGGAATCTCATTCTTCGACTTGTCCCGTCCTGAGTACAGAAGGATAACATCTTTGTCTTCCTATCTTCATAAGCACAGAATAGGAAGTAGCATGGGGGGGGGGGGAACACAATTTATGCAGACATACGTTTCTGCCAACTATATATATTAGGTGGGGGTCCCCAAATCCCTACCAGTCTGTGGCCCGCCAGGAACCGGGTCACACAAGCAAGCAAAGCCTCATCCATCCATGTGCGGGATCCAGGTAGCATGAGAAACCATGCCCTCCTGCCCTCTGCAGAATTGGTCCCTGGCGCCCCAAAGGTTGGGGGGGAGGGGCGGGCTCTGCTGCATTAGGCATCTTTTTCCTCTCTGATTTAGGGGACCTAAATGAAGTCTTGTAATACAAAGAATTGTATCCACAAATGTCAAATAGTTTAGAATTCAGGACAATTCCCTCTTCAGCATCTTGCCTGAGGGAAACATCATCATCTCCCTAATGGTAGGGTTGGCCCTGGCAGATCTTCAAAATTTTAATTAAAGGTACTTAAATGTCTTGCCTGAACTAAACTGACAGCTAATAACTTTAGTTGCAAGGAAAGGTTCTAGATGTTCTGGAAAAGAGCTTCCTGTCTGAATATTAAATTAGCACAGTGTTGATAACTGGAAAGATACAAAATAGAACAACAAAATATAACCATTATTCTTTAAAATAATTTAGATGAATGTCACTTTCTAAATGGGCTCCTTGGTTCTCTCTGAGCTTGGTTGTTTTCTTGCAGATGTTTCATTACCTATACTAGGTAACTTCATCAGTGCTAGTGAGGAGTGGGGTTTGCTCTCAGATTATATTCAGACACTTGTTTGGCAGATCCTGGTTTGGAATATTGTTTTCTTGAATGTTGGTCTGATGTTGAAGTTAATCTATGGTCATTTGGGGGCTGATTGCTGGCGGAAAGGTGCCTAGGTATTTTTATTCCCTTTTTGGCATTGTTTNGCCTGGGACTCCGCCTCCCCCCTCCCTCCCCCCCCCAAAACAAAGCAGCCGCGGGAGGGGCCGAGGCTGCAGGTTGCGCCGGAGCGCGGCTGCCCTTGCGGACTTTGCTCGGTGGGCAGGGCCGTTGCGCGGGTTTTTTGCAAAAGCAGCCCCCCGATCCTGCCCCGGCGACATGCTGACCTTCCTAGCCAGGAACATGGTGAGTCCTCTTGGCCAGGCTCCGCGGGCGCCCGCTTGGAGAAGCAGACGGCAGCCCTTCTGGCTTGAGGATGGGGTGCTGCTCCTGCTGCCGCTGCTGCGCGGGGAGGGCTGGGGGATCGCGGGCAAAGGGAGCCCCCTCCGCCCCTTCCCTCCTTTTGCAAACCGATTGCCCGGGCTGACTTTCGCTTTTGCGCGCGGGGTCGTCCTTGCAAAGCGGGAGAGAAAAAGTGTGTGTGTGTGGTTGCGTTGTTGTGTTGTTCCTGCTGGGCACCCCTGTTTGGGGCCCTGTTGCATCCAGGGTTGGTGGTGGTCGTTTTTTTTTTGCAAGGGGGGGAGGACAAGGGGGCGTCCGCGAGGCTTTGGGTGGGAATATCCTGCACAAAAGGACTCGCGTGAAACCTTGGCTTTAAGAGTGGGGGGCTTCATTCCACCCCCTTTTGAAAAATGGGGGGGACACATCTCATTTTTGGCTGTTTCGGAAAAGGATGTTGCCTGCTTCGTTTGTGTGTTGTGGTTCCAGTTGTGAATAAGAAACAGAAGAGCAAAATAGTTTTGTTTTTCTTTTTTAAATCTGGCAAGAAAATAACAAACCGAAGCAAAACAAGGACCACAATTTTGTGAGTCCCGCATACTTACCATAGTTCGTTTAGTGGCCCTTTCAAGATGACCACGGCATTGGAAAAAAGTGACTTACGACCGTTTCTTTACGCTGCATTATGGCCCCCTGTCCTGTCACCAAAATTGAGGATCTATATATTTTTTTGGACAACTGGCTGATATTGGGTTTCGTGCTCTGTGTGTTTGCCCTGCCTGCCCCTCCCTCCCTCCTGCCTTTTAATAATTAGCTGCTTTATTAATTAAGCCAGTGTTTCTCAACCTTGGCCACTTGAAGATGTCCGGNGCCCTCTTAAAACATGCTGTCTGGGGGATTCTGGGAGTGGAAGTCCACCCCTCTTAAAGCATCCTGGCTGGGGGATTCTGGGAGT